TATTCTTTCGACGAGTGCATTGAAGAGACGCAAACCAGGAAATGTCTGCATCAGATGGGGTCAGAGAAGACTCTCTGGCAGGGGGAAATGGAGAGTGAGAAACTGACCCAGGCAGAAGCGGATAAGGGGAAATAGGGAAGGGAGAATTCCAGGCTTGTTTGCCTGGAAGATTAAAGGCAGAAAGAAACATCGTTCTCTTCTGCATCGTCTCATTGCCTTGTCTGCACTTTTCTTCTCTATTACATACACTTGCAAGGTGTTCTTGTTAATTCAAGAAAAACCAAGCAGAGAAAACATCGCTTCCATTGTTTTTTACTCAGTCATTCTCACCTCTAGCAACTCAAATAATTTTGCCTTTGGTTTTCCAGATTGCTGCCGACAATTCAAGTTTAAAAACCTAGAGTTGGGTTATTTCCATTCACACTGTATCTCTGTGTTTGCCCATAGAATTTGGTACAACTTACATCCTTAGAATTACTGTAGAATGCTCAGAGGTGTGAAACGCCATTTCGAGTAATGCCTTTCTTCAGTTAATATAGATAAATATTGATGGCGGCGGGGAGCAGTAAAACAAGTCATTAAATACTCCAGTGCACGTGCGTCCCACACATGGCTGGAAGTTACAGAAATCACACCAGGCTCCGAGAAAACCACTGCACATGATCAGAGCGCTTGCATGCCCAGCTCCCTCATGCCAAGTTGGAAAACAGGGCGTGTGGCGGAGGCATGGACACCAACAGGAGAGACTGGGCACTGGGACTGGAATGGCACTGCCGGTCCATTCTGCCCACGGTGCCTTCTGCTACCGCCCTAATGAATTCCTGGGTGAGGCAGAGACCTGTGAAAAATCACAATCAGCAGCATAAGGGAGCTCTGGTGCTCCGAAAACAAAGAAACTTTAAATCTAAAGTAGTAACCCTATAAAACCAGCTAAGGATTTGGAGAGTAATAAACCCCTCCTCTGCTGCCATGGGATTGTTTGACAGCAGTGTCTGTGTCCATGCGGAACCTGGCCTGGGTCACCTAGGGGAGTGGAGGGACCGGCTGATGGGGCCAGATCACACGGTTGTTGCTTGATTCCTAGGATGAAAAACGAAAGGAACCGTTTCCTCATTTTATAACCCTGTCGCCAAGGATGCCAGTCTGCTATAGATTTTGAAGCTCCGCAGTGCGGGGTACCCTTTCTTCAAGGTGTTTTTAATGGGCTCTGGGTTGTCAAAGACTCCGCTCTGATAATGAGGCTGTGAGCCCCGCGTGAGGAGAAAGCTCTGTAATGAGGTAGGAGGACAATTTGTTACAGTGATGTGGTTACTTGGCCATAATATCTTTTTGAGGTTTATTAAATCATATAAAATTTCAATTTACACTGTAATATTCTATAAAAGATGGAGCACACAGAAGTAATAAGTATGACAACATTTCTTTCATTTATGAATCGTACTGTTGATTGTGTTAACACTGTCACTTCCAGCAGCAGGATTATTTAGGTCGGGACAGTAATTTTCTATCTCCAGTTTAATTTTGTAAAAGTTAATTACAAATTAGAATAAAATGAATGCAGTTATGGAAGGCAGCAAAATGCTGAGACAGGATGTTATTGGGGGGAAATATTTACGCAGGTTGCTCCTGGTGGAGATCAGTGTTATGGAAACCCAGGACTTCTGGCCTCCATGTCACCCATTTGTTGGAGGAAGAGAAGCTCTGGGGTTGATCTACTAGGAAATGAACTGTCCTTGGGGGAACTTAGGGAATCTCAGTGCTCATTCTGGTGAAACCGCTTCCTTTCCCAGACAGGTCACAAAGCTTGTCCCTGTCGCCCAGCAAGGAGGTGACAGAATGAGGATTAGAATTCCAGTCTCCTGACACCAGGTCAGTCAACTTTCATTTCACTCTAAGGTGGGTGTAGATTTGTTTCTGCCTTAAAAGGTGGACAGGGAGGTGTGTAGGGGATAGAGGAGGTAGAAAGTTTCTCCAGATCTCACCACAAGCCAATCTGTGCCCTGGGAGACGGAAAATTGAAATGCAAGTAGCATTTCAAGGGGACCTTCCCAGTCATCTTTTCCTCCCCTGTTGAACCCTTTTTCCATTTCCTAACAACAAAGTTTCTTCGATAGACTTTCTACCAAAACAACTCAGCCGTAGAGCTGGTTACAACCCTGCAGGAGTTGCTCTGGCCAACCCGGCCACCAAGAGAGAAAGGAGCACCAGAGACAGAGACTGAGCCAGAAGAGGAGAGGATTCCCAGGCCCTGGATATGAAACCCCAGTCCTTCATGTCCCTTCCCCACCATTTCCCCATGTGTGCTGTGCTCTGTTCCCCTGGGACTTGGTCAAGGGTGTTTTGCCTCTCGCTGAGAAGGTGGGTGAGCTTAATGGCACCCCGTTTATGTCCTTCCACATTCACCCCACTCTTCCCAATCACGTGGTCTCTTCCCCTTCCCATCCTCGCTACCGTACTTCAGCCATGTCGGGGCCCTTTGTGATATCAAGATTGGCTTGCTAGGTGAGAGGCTTTTATATTTAGTTTTTAATAGAGCAAAAACGACTCTAAATTTGTTCATATTCTTTAGGTTACATAGGACAAATTACAGATAAGTGAATCAGTAATGAAATTTGTAATGAGAATTTCTCAAGTATGAAATGTTGGCGCAAGGAAAGTTAATTGTGGGATTTTTACAGCCATTATAGTTTATATCATAAATGCAAAAATGACGAGGGCCATTTAATTACAGTAGGAACACACTCAATTTTTATGGAGTGCCATTGTGTTAAAGAGGTACTTGGAGCATTAAGAGCAAATACCGTCCTAACAGTGGGTCCAGGTAGCTTTCGAAACATCAAATAAATATGCTATTGCTACAAAATTGTTCCTTAGATACTGTAATTGACACGATGACTAATGAGATGGGTTTATTCTCACAGCTTCACACACTCAATTTACAGTGTCTGAAAGTTATTTTTTCTGCCATCCACAGACCTGGAAGGAAGCAGAAAAATCCCTCTTGGAAAACACTATCTCTGCTGCTTCTCTAATTAACCTTCAAAAATGCATTTTGAAATATAGAAGTTGGTGCCTGGCGTAGGAATTGGATTGCCTCAGAAAAAAAAAAAAGACCCAAGTACTAATTTGTTCCTTATTAAGTATCTGACATGTCAAAATTACAGGCAGTTAATGTCTTGGTGCTTTTCAGCAGGGCTGGAGACAGCTTTTCTTGTGGGCCAGGCACAGCGGGTGGCTCTGGTACCAGGTACCCCGAAGCCAGAGCTGTCTCCACTGCACCCCCCAGCCCAGGTCTTCCTTTTACTAACCCCCATCCAGCCAGGGTCCTGTGGGCGACAGATTCCCTGATCTCTACGGAAGGAGGACATCTAGGGGGACTGACTGGGAATCGTGGAGCATCCCCCATCATTGGGGGTTTGGGGGGAATGCATCCCCTCCTCACCTTGTCACCCCAGGCCTCAGAGGCTTCCAGAATAGGAAAGAAGAGTTAATAGGAAGAAGAGCCATATTCACTCTGGACCCCTGAACATGTTTCAGATTGTTTTGGAAACCCAGGGTAGAGGTACCCCCATTATTTTGGAAATCTAGGGAGGGTGTCCCTCTCTCCATTATCCAGTGAAGTCCCTGGGAGGAGGTTCTTCTAGGCAATATTCCTTTCCCTAGTAAAAGCAAAGGAAAGATATATGTGGTCTCCCATGTCTAATCAATGGAGCCAGAATTCAAGAACTGTTGATTTGGAAAACCTGCATTCAAGACCCTGCTCTGCCGCGCAGTAACCACAAAACTTTGCCTGCTCGTCTGGAAAACAAGAAAGCAATAATGATCCCGGTTTCCCGGAGATATTGTAAACACCTGATAATTTAGTGAAGAATCTGTAAATATAAAATCAGGATCTCACACGTTCTCGGCAGCTTTATTCACAGTAGCCAAGGGATAGAGGCAACTCATGTCCACAGATAAACAAAATGGAGTAAATACACACAACAGAATATTATTCATCCTTTAAAAAGGAAGGAATTTCTAACACGTGCTACAACATGGATGAACGCGGAGGACATGTTAAGTGAAATAAGCCCGTCACAAAAGGACAAATACTGTGTGATTCGACTTATATGAGGTACCCAGAGTAGTCAGATCTATAGAGGCAGAAAGCAGAATGGTGGTTGCCAGAGGAGAATGGGGAGTTATTGTTTAACAGGTGCAGTGTTTCAGTTTTGCAAGATGAAAAGAGGTCTGGAGATGGAAGGTGGTGTTGGCTTTACAACAGTGCGAATGTACTTAATGCCACAAAACTGTACACTTAAATGTGGTTAAGGTAGTAAACTTTATGTGTATTTTACCATAATTATTTATGTGTTTTATGGTTCCCTTATTATATTAATGTGGATATTTATTTCATTTATGTACATTAATTTTATTCTAGGTTAGAATTCAATTCTATCGTTATTTATTCTGTTGCTCAGATTGTTTCAGCTTTTGGCTCCTTCATAGCTCCTGTGATTTTCTTTAACAGACTCTCATGCTTTTATTGGAGCATTTTCCTATTTTCTGGCACTCAAGATGTTCCAGGCTCATCTGGTGTTTTCCATGCCCTGTCTGAGAATCAGCCACTTCTTCAAAAGCCCTGAAACCTTTTATTGGAGAGTGGTGTGTAGAGACCCTGATATTGGGTTGTAGGTGTGCTCATCATTACTGAGGTGGTATTGCTTTTAGCCCCTCATATCTTTTTCTTTCTCTCTCTCTGTATATATATTAAAAACCATGGATTTATACTGATACCTATGATTCCAAACTAATACCCCAGGGGTCATTTTTTTTTTTTTTTTTTTTGCGGTATGCGGGCCTCTCACTGCCGTGGCCTCTCCCGTTGCGGAGCACAGGCTCCGGACGCGCAGGCTCAGCGGCCACGGCTCACGGACCCAGCCGCTCCGCGGCATGTGGGATCTTCCCGGACCAGGGCACGAACCCATGTCCCCTGCATCGGCAGGCGGATTCCCAACCACTGCGCCACCAGGGAAGCCCCCAGGGGTCATTTTATACTGGTTCCTCTTCTTATTTGTAACATCCTTCTCCAACAGTGAGAACCCAGCTCTCATTTATCTATGATATATTTACTTATTTGTTCAATTCCACTATATACATAAAGTAGTTCCAGACCTGCTAACCCATACTCCTATAAGAAACAGTGTTTATACACAGTTCTTTTTGTCCTTAGCCTCGCAGTACCCAGTCTGGTTGCAATAGAGTTCATTCATTTGTTAGTCTTTGTATCCCATTTTGGGTCTCCCCATCCACGTCCTGGTTGCTTTGAATTATCTATTTATTTATTTACTGGGGGGATATGTGAAGCATTACTATGGTCTAAGAGGAAGAGTTGGTTACATAAGATGTTCTCAGAGAAGGATGGCTCCCTCCTCCTCCTGCCCACCCTCTCCCATTTTCCTCTTCTCTCCACCCTTCCCACCTGCCTCCCGTAGGTAGCCAACAACCTTGGTTTCTGATTTATCCTCTCTGTATTTCTTTTGCACAAGTGATCAGACACCTATTTTCTTATATCCCCTTCTTACACAAAGGGTAGCATACTATAAACACTCTTTTGGACTTTGCTTTTTTCACTGAATAGTATGACATGGAATCTTTACATTTTTCAAAATGGGGCATGAGTGTCAAAAGGCTGAGAGGTGCTAGGCGGCTGGACAGTCTTCAATCACTTTGAAATAGAAGGATTCTAATGGAAGACCAGAAAGGTCCAGTCTAGAAGACGAGTCTAGAAAGACTAAATGGTCCGTGCTTTCAAAGACCCTCCAAGGGAACTAAGAAGACTAAATGTGTCTGCGTGGAAAAAAAATTGTCAACCTGCTGAAAAGAATTGCATCCTCCTAATATGCCAGGAGAAAAGTAACAACAACAACTTTGTCAATGAAACTCCGGGGGAAAAAGAGCAAAGCAATAATAATAATGCAAGGCAGCTGAAAGCTCCCGGATTTAGAGAAATCCCGAGTTTCGGCTGAAAATGACCCAGCTTCCGGCTCTTTGCAGGTCATGTGTCACTTAACTTCCTTCAGTCCACTCCCTGTGTTGGGTCCCTTATGTCAGTGTTTCTCAGACCTCAGTGTGCACCAAAATCCCCTATCTTTTTAAAATGCAGGTTCTGCTTCAAGAGGTCTGAAGTATGGCCTGAGATTCTGCATTTCTAACCAGCTCCCAGGTCATGCCAGCACTGCTGGTCCAGGGTCCATACTCTACGTAGCAAGACCTTGTATGGTCTCTGTGACTCAGGTACCAAGAACTTGTTCCTTCAATATGGAATCAATGTGATTGTCCACAATACACAAAAATCCCAAGAAAAAACTGACTCATACACTCCTGGCTTTGCATTCATCTGTTTACTAAACTGTCTGGCATTCCTGATCGGATTAGAAGACAACAACATAAAAGCATTAAAATGTGCTTACTGATGCCTATGATTTACCACAAAACAAAAGCTTTACGTTCACTGAAAAGCAGATCCTAAGCCTTTATAGATATGCCTGTTGTTCAGGGCAGATTCCACACAGGTATTTGCTGAATTTCTCTGATGTGTGCAAGACAGGATTGAAATTAAAAGAACCTTAGCCTCTGGCGGATTTTGATTTTAGTTCCATCTAAGGAGGGTTAATTAGACCTTGGACTTGCTTCAGGATAGCGATCAGTGTGTAACACAGTACTGACTCTGCAAAACCCTCTCCCTCTATCTCAGGTTTCCTGAATTGAATTCTTGTTCATGAATATAGAATAAACTCACACGCACACTGTACCTCCTTAATGCCTCTCAAAATTTTTTTGGAAAATACGTGTGCTTCTAAGTCCAAGAAAGACAGGAAACATATTTTCACACCAGCTTCGGGTCCCTATATTAAGAAAGTACACATTGTAAAAGAACTTTCCATGGTCAGTGTCAATGTATGAGGGTTAGCACACAAGTTCTACAGCACACTTAGTAAATAAATTATGAGTTAATTCAAATGTTCCTGGGAGAAGAAAATATTTAATAGGTTTAGCAGGAAGCTCTTGCCCACATCAGCATCTGTGGGACCAGGAGCACATTCACTGTCTTCTGTGGAAGCAACACTTGGCTTGATCTTCCTTTAGACACAGCCCCGGGGTTCTTGGGAAGCGCCGTTGATCCATCCAAGAGCCTCATGCAGGCTTGAAATCAGGGCACGTTCTTTCCTTCACCCACTCCCTCTGATTACATTTGATTATCTAGCCCCATAACAAGTCCGATTCCAGGCTTCTGGGGGTGTCCACCTTATGTCTCAGACCCCTCCCCTCATCGGCCCCACCGGCCCAGGCCCCTGCTCTCTCACCTAAGGTACTGCAATAGCCTCGCACCTGCCCCTGACGTCGTAAGTTCAAGTCCCTCTGTGCCGCTGTCCCAAGAAACTAGCCACAGCACAGGTTTGATCATGTCCCAGCCGCCGCCTCCAGGACCTTCCACAGGCCGCCCAACTGACAACAGATTTCTCCATGCGGACTCAGTCCAGCCTCCCACCTCGTCCTTCCTATGCATCCGCGGGAAACCTGTGCTGTATTATTCCCTCAGTGGCGGGCTTCTTGCCCACCCTGAGCCCCTGCTCTCAGTCTTCCTTCAGTCTAGGTTTTCATCCCACCTACACCCAATCTTTGCCTACTGCAGTCTCACTCATCTCAAAAAGTCCATCCTTCATCCACAAAGCATTTCCTGAGCCCACAAATGGAAATTATTTCCCTCCCCTTTAACGGTGGCACACAGCTTACGATCCGCCCCATTCTGCCTCGTGTGGCAATGGGTCTTGTCTTAGTCTCCACGTGTGGTCATCATAGTGGACACACTGCCAGGTCCCTCCGTGGGCGGTGGGACCATGAACTTGTCGTGGACAATGCACAGGGAGTGGAAGCGATGTGTGACCCTCCTGGGTTAAGTGTTGAACTGCTGGAGCGAGCACTCCGTGTCTCTTTCTTCCCTGATCCTGGGAGACCTTCAGGGTTGGAGGTGGTGGCTGCCTTGTCAGGCCGGTTCCTTGAATGACTGGTGAGCAGAGACCCCAGCTGACCTGCAAGAGACATGCAGCATATGTGAGAAATAAAGGTTGGATATTTTTAAGTCATTGAGATTTTGAGGTTGTTCCATGCAGCTAGGAATTTTGCCTTTGCATTAGAAATATCTATGACATCTAACACGGTGTGAAAGTGTGGAATTAAGTTTAACCCAACTGCATCCAGTGTAAAATGACAAGGCAGGAACACCAGTGAGCAGGCAGGCAGTGTTGCCTAATGGTCAGGGGCAGGCCCCCTGGAGTCAGGCTGCCATTTCTCAGCTTCACGATTAGAGCAAGGGATCACTACACCTAAGCTTCAGTTTCCCCATCCATGAAGGGGATAATAGCACAACCTCCATTAGCGGTAGAACCTCCTGGTTCTAGTGAGGATCAAGTGAGGTAATGCATATGTACATTGTAAACAGCCAATAAATGTCAGCTGTTATTAGCCGTTGTTATTATTATTAGTAGTAGTAGTAATGCAGTCAGTTTCCCAGTAGTACTTAGTGAAACTTAACTACAGGGCTGGACAAAGAAGAAATATCTGGAAATCAAGTAACGTTAGGACTAGCATCCCAGCAGCCAAGGACAGAAGACTCCGCACTGAGGGACCAGCGCAGAAAAGGCTGCCCAGCCGCTGCCAGCCTCCTCCAGTGGCCCCCAGTCTGCTAACTTCAGGCAGCGCAGCTGCTGAGCCCTTCACAACTGAAGGCAGAGGAGCCAGGAGGCCAGCTGCGGCCTCTCAAGGACGCCAGTGGCTCAAAGGACATCAGGCCCTTTACCCACATCTGCTCTCAGAGGCCCTGATTTTAAACTCCACGAACAAGATGTATGTGTTGCTACCAAAGACAGAGCATAAGCTAATGTCACCAGCAGGGAAGAATAATAAGCAAATGTGTTAATTAAGGCTAATTAGTGTTCTATTTTTATCTCTAATCATTTCTTAGAACCAAAGAAGAAATCATTATAGTCCACTGTGTCTCCAGGGAAAGATTTTGTATTTGCATTTTTACATATGGGCTACACTTTCTATGTCATGCATTTTATCAGGATCCTAGGCACAATAGTTTGTATACAGTTACCTGTAGTCACGCCTAAGTTCTACTTACGCTAACATATATATGATTGTCCTTCTTGATAACAGAATAAACAGAGCTCAAATTTCTTCCTTTGCACGTGCTCACTAGTATTTGTTGAGTGGCCACAATCCCTGCCCCCAGGAAGGAGATATATTTATTTATATTCATTCTAGAAAGAGGTTCAGACAAGCGGCTGACTTGGTAACTCAGAAGAATTCTGACGGACATGGAGAAGTGTCTAGAGGATGTCACAGGGCTCTGTGCTTGCCTCGGGTGAATATTTTTATCATTGACTTGGTTGAACACGAAGAAGAAATACTTCTCAAGTTCACAGAGTTACCAGTGGGAGAAACAGCTACTTCAGAGGTGACACATTCAGGATTCAAAATGTCCTGATTATGTCATCTAAAACACAGGGCTAAAACACAGCTGATACCACAATGAGGAAGCTAATAAAAATAAATGCAAAGTCCTGCATTTAGGTTCACAGAAGCCATTACACAAACGCGATCACAATGGTTCATGTGAAAGACGTGTGGGTTGAGCTTGGCTGTGAGCTCAGAGGGTGCCCACCACGCGGGTGTTTCCCCATGTGTGAGATGCAGTACTGGGCCACAAGGACTCTGTCGTGGACTTCAAATGGGTACCTCAGTGGACAAGAGAAATTGAGAGGAATTAAGAAGGTAAAGTGTCTGTAAACAATCTGAAATGAAGAATAAATATTTAAACAGAAAAATATCAACAAATGACCCAAAAGTACTATAGATGTGTTCAAAAATATCAAGGATTATGAAGTTGAAAATGGAGAACACACGTTCTATCTGTTCTGGAGGCTGGATGTCAACTTAGCAGGACATGTCTCATAAGTAGCGCCATCCAGTGTTTTCAGAGGGGCTTAACAGAAATGAGCTTGTCCTGGAAGCTCCCATATCAAAGTGGCCTTAGCATTCCTCAGGGATCTGTGTCAGGGAGAGAGGCTTCTACCTTGGCCTTTATCCTAAATGGCTCTATCCAGGCCTACACCAGAGCTGTGAACGGGATGGACTTATTCTGTCATGGAATTTGCCGTCTTCTTATAAGGACACACTTTTAATTCTATAATGGAAAACAGTGGAAAAATAGAATTTGCTTCACATACATTCACCCTAATATATATTTAAATGTATAAGTATATAAAACATATTTTTTAAAAAGGTCAATCTGTTTACCAAGGATTTTAGCTCTCACCCAATTTACAAACCAGACCTTGCTGTGTGGTGTGCTACAGGCACAAGATGCTACGGCTGGGTCACGAGCAGTCGTTCTAGAAAATTGGGACGCTGGGCCACCCTGTCACATAGTCTTCTCCAAGCCCACTGGACAACAGATCCGTTGAAATCCCAACGTGAAAGAAGTTTACGCAGCTCTTTTCTCCTGTATAATAGATGCTCTGTCGAGTAGTGTGTTCCGTGCTGTGACAATTCATTCCTGCACTTGTGACAGGACCGCCAGCTGATTTCACTATGCTCAATTAGGAGGAAATGCATATTTTAATCTGCCCCGTGGTGAGGTCACACTTTGCTCAGCGGCCTTGGCAAACCAGCCATTTAACCATTTAGGTGGGTGGAGGTTTCCTCACCAGGATGTCATTCGGCTGCCAGCAGCCTCTCTATTCTCATTCTGTTGCCAACACATTTCCCGGGTTCCAGAGTATAAACAATTAAAGGCCACTCCATCATTCTCGGAGCCGCTGCGCTGCAGCCCAGCCCCTTCGGCTCCACCGCCGTCCTGGTGCCGTGTGCACGCAGCTGACAACGCCTTTCCCTCTCTCCTTTCCCGGCCTGGGAGGCCTGGGAGCTCAGCATGGAAGCCTGCACATGGTCTTTCTGCCTGGGCTCTGTTATTTCTACCCCCAGGCCAAGGATAGAATTCAGGGCCTGCCCTTGTGGGAAGTGGGAAATCTGTGCCAGCCAGCCCGGCTAGCTCAGCTCTGACCTTGGAGTCCAGCGCCCATCCTGGAATGCCCGCTGCTCGTGAGTCCTTGAACTGGCCATGCTCACAGCCATCTCCTCACCACGGGCCCCCTTGCCCCTACAGAGAGCAAAATTATGCCCTCCCCCACTTTAATTTTGTTTTCCAATTAGTGAGAGGATCCCCTTGAGATATGTGTCTTCCTTTCTTTCCATTCCATCTTCCGTCTTCCATCTGGCCTTTTAGATTCCTTAGATCGTCAGATGTACACACACAACCCTGGAATTAGGGAGGGTGAGCCTGGGGTGGAAATCATAGCTGGTGGACCCATATCACGCTGGTAGAGGCAGGTGGTGTGCTCCAAGGCTTGGATGGACCTGGACTCTGATCTGAGAACTTCCACTGACTGACTTAAGTGATTTATCCTCTCTTAAGTCATATTCTTCTTAGTTTCAAATGGGAAGAGTAACACTCCAGGCCTCAGGGTTTCTGCAGATCGATACACAGTTACCTAAAGAGCTAATGTTTATTGAGCTCTGTCCAGTGCTCCAAGGAAGTGCTGATACGGGTGCATCATCTCATTTAATTCATGGACCGACCCTCTGAATATCCCATTCTACAAAGGTAGACTGGCCCTCAGAGGCGTTCGCAAGTAGCCTGAGTAAGGGAAGCAGTGAAGGGCTGAGCGTGGTGGGCTGAAAAATGGTGCACTTTGTTCTCTTCCAAATCCCAGAGATCTGGGCTGGAGATGACAGCTGGACGCTGGAATGTAGAATCCCACAGGGTCAAAGCTGAGTGTCCCAGTGGCAGATAAAATGTCCACAGAGCGTCCTCAGAGCCAAGCACTTTCTTCTGCCCATTTTGGAACTAGGAAGAATTCCCAGATTTTTCATTGTCCCATTTTTTTTAAAAAAAAAAAAAACGGATTCATCCCAAATAGCTTCCTCTAACTCTGCAATTGACAGCCTAGGGTCAGGCTCAAGCCACCAGCCGGGGCCAGGCCCAGATGCTCTGGGTTTCTGTTGACGGAGCCGAAGTCACTGACCCCTTTGCGCGAACCTGCCTAAGGACCCAGTGCAGACAGTGGGGTGGGGACCAGACAGCTGTAAATTCTGTGCAAGATTATCCCATTTCCGACGCTTTTACAGAGTCTGTGACTTGGGGTCGCAAGGCCCCTTCACTAAATCACCACTGCTCAAGGCTGGGGGAGGTTCCAGCCCCAGGATCCAGGGCTGTTTTTTTTTTTTTAAGGAGATCACAGGCGCACACATCCTTTCCTTCTCAATTCCCTTCCCATCATGCTTCCTCCTGTTCTAGGAACCTGCCAGAACTACCCTGAGTTGCCTCATTGGTTGTCCCCTTTGCCCGTTGTGTGATTTCTTTTCCTTTGAAATTCAGTGTGGGGAATCGCTCCAATAGTAATGAGAGGAAGGGAGAAAACAAGGGTTGGCTCCGGCTCAGAAGGAGCTTGATTGACTGCTCTGCTGTCGCCACCTTGAAATTCTGAAATATTTTCAAACAGGGGGCCCCAGAAATTACGTCGCTGGTCCTGGAGAGAACAAGCATTTGTTGAGTACTTACTCCTTCCTAAGCTAACGGCTCCCAAACTTTACTACACATCTGAATCACCTGAGAGAGCCTTTAAGACTCTTGCTGCCCAGGTCATACCCCAGACCAATGACATCAGAATGTCTGCACCGCGGTATTTTCTGAAGATCCCCAGGTGTTGTGACTCAGATGTGCAACAAGGTTTGGGAGCCACTGCTCCAGGCTCTCTCACAAGAAGAGGTGTTATTACTTACCTGGGGCAGCTGAGGGGACAGGGGCCCAGAGCAGCTCAGCAGTGTGCCCGAGCTCACGCCCTATCTTGGGGAATGTCAGGAGTTGAATTCAGGCTAACCTGAAGCCCAGTTCTTTTCATTCAGCCACAAGACTTAAGCCAACCTGCTCTGCAGTTCGTTAAATTAGGTCATTCGTAAATTCTACTGGTTTCTGAATAAGATGATCAGGTAACCAGGCCTTTCTACTCTTAGGAAAGTACTCCTAAGCATTTCTCTTGATGTTGGCAAGGAAGAGCAAGAATTTTTCACAAACTGTCCACACATATCGAGAATTCACTGCAGGACCTGCGGGCAGCCATCCAGAAATTTCCCGCAGGTAGCCAAGCCACAGCCACCTGGAGCCGGTTCTGTTCTAGGGAGGAAGCTCCTCTGACTGTCCCTTGTTGAAGGCTGTCACCTCGGGGAAGGACACCTCCTTTCAGAGGAAGTCATCAGGCCTCCACCAGGACGCCCTGGATCTGCCCTTCACGGCCCGCCTCTCCCAGATCTCTCCTTGTCACGTCCGGAGCCCCTGAAATCTGCAAGACGTGGGAGAATCAATCCTGTTCCTGTGCAAGCCCTTCTTTCATTTTCACCTTTTTCCCAAAAGGGGATTTTTGTACAAGCCCCCAGGGGCTCCAAGTGCATCTGCTCCGTGCCCATCCCTCTTTCTGACCCAGCCCCTCCCCTCAGCCTTGGGTGGGGTGGAGAAGGCCATGGGGTAGCTCCCACTGCTGTCCCCCTCGTGGGACACACCCAGATGAGGGAACAGAAGACGGCAGGGAAACCTCCTCGCCCACAAAGGCAAGCTTCCCAGAAGTCACTGGCCCATGAGACAATGGACCACTGGCCCGCACTCCTGTCCCCGACCCAGACGCAACCCAGCATGTGGCTTAGGAGCTCAGCATCCTTATAGCCTGAGGGTGAGCTTCTAGTCTGCTCGACTGGGCTTCTCTCTCTCTCTCTTCCTCTCTCTCGTCTCCTGATTAACGGGCTGAACAGTATGACTGCTTCAAGCCTGTTTGCGTTTACTTCTCTCTTGTGTACGCAAGGTGAAATGGCCACGGTGGACCCTGTGCCACCCTCAGACCTTCAAAGGAAGGACGCCAGGAACTTCAGAGGGCACAGAGGGCGTCGGGTGGAAGGGTCTGAGGAGAGCTGTGCAAAGGAAGTCAGTTGTCAAAAGCCCGCTTCCTCAGGCTTAATTTGAGTCTTTGGAGAAAGAAGCTAAATTAAACAGGTGCTCAGGGATTATTTATCCTCCCCGCAGTAACCGGCTTTTACACTGGATGCAGAGCTTTCCATGTGACGAAGATGAAGTCCAGGAAGATGCCCAGACAGCTGGTTTTCAGAGGCCTGGCCAGAGTCACAGCCGGGTGCAGGCACCGGGGGCGCAGGGCCTGGGTGGGGCTCTTCTTCCCCTCGTGGGCCCAGCCCTTGACCAGCTCCTCTCGGGCAGTCTAAAGAACGTGGGCCTCTCCACAAATCTGCTTTCCTCCTCCCAGCCTGAGACAGGACTTGAGGTAAACAGGATGGTGCCACAGGCCCGGGTGAGGCCGGTGGCCAATGGTCATGGTCAGAGGTGCTCAGAGAGAGGGGCCCTCCCGCTCCAGAGCCAGGCAGGCAGGCAGGCAGGGGGACCCTACAAAGCTACACCCCCATCACCGCTTAACCAAAATGCACCCAGTTTCAGTGTCTGTGGAAGGCTCCACAATGCCAGCCTAATGGGACCAGTGAGCACCATGGTGTTAAAGGTACCTGACATTTGCTAAGAAATGTCCCCCTCTGAGTCCATGGGGCCCAGCGAGTGGACGGAGGTCTGGATGTTAATATTCGCGTAGCTTTAGTAGTCGGAATCCACCATCATATGCTCTTCCCAGACGTGCTGGTGTCTTATTAGAAATGCAGTAAATAGAATTCAGTGCTATTGAAAAGAAATGCAACAGACTCTAATCTAAAGAATGCCATTTCAGGAAAATAGCAGCGACTTACAATGTACTGCCCCTAAAATGGAAAATCAGTTTTAGAACATTGTAAACTTTTAATTGCATGCAGCATGAAAACAGATTTCAAACAGAAAGGAGGGGAAGGAGAGCTGACATTAATTGAACACCTTCCATTGAGGACCAGGCACAGTCATATTACCTCATTCCGTCCTCACAGCAGCCAAATGAGATTGGAGTTATTTTCTCAGAGTTAAAAATGAGGAAATTGGGGCTTCCTTGGTGGCGCAGTGGTTGAGAGTCCGCCTGCCGATGCAGGGGTCACGGGTTCGGTGCCCCGGTCCGGGAAGATCCCACATGCCGCGGAGCGGCTGGGCCCATGAGCCATGGCCGCTGAGCCTGCGCGTCCGGAGCCTGGGCTCCGCAACGGGAGAGGCCACAACAGGGAGAGGCCCCCGTACCGCAAAAAAAAAAAAAAAAAAAAAGGAAATTGAGGCTCAGCAAGGAAAAGTATCTTGCTCAAGGTCATGGGTAGAAAGTTGCAGAGTTTGGATTTGAAATTGGGCCCATTTGGCTCTAAAGCCTGTACTCTTTGTATCTACTGTGAAGCACATGCGTGGGAAAATTTCCTTTCTTCCACAAACTGGCCCCAACAAATGACACATAGGTGGTTCCAGAAATCGGTGGCTTGACTGTGGCTGTTTTGGCTTCTCCGTGTTTCAGATCCACTTATGGCACAGGAAACGTTGGGCTTGATGCCACGAGAGAGAGAAAAGAAGGCACAGGAAGGTTCGGCTGACGTCTTTCTTTCTTTTTTTGCAGTACACGGGCCTCTCACTGTCGTGGCCTCTCCCGTTGCGGAGCACAGGCTCCGGACGCGCAGGCTCAGCAGCCATGGCTCACTGGGCCCAGCCGCTCCGCGGCATGTGGGATCTTCCCGGACCGAGGCACGAACCCGCGTCCCCTGCATCGGCAGGCGGACTCTCAACCACTGCGCCACCAGGGAAGCCCATCGGCTGGCGTCTTTCTAAATTGCATTCTGGAAGATGTTACCTTCAGCAGCTTTTCCAGAACATATTTGCAAAGCGGGTTTTAATATGCCCCCCAAACTCCAGAACCTTGACCACCTTCTACATTTATCTCTGGTAATTACCCTCCGCCACACGCCACAGCTGCAGCTTGCTGTACACTTGGTATTTGCTATTTCCTGACAAATCTTGTGAGTTTCGGCTGAAGCAGTTTCTCCTTTCTGGAATGCTCTTACCTTCCACACCCAGCTACTCTCCCCTCCTGGCAGCATTCACACAGCCAGCGTTGTCTGAGTGTTGCCAAGAGCCGTGCAGGGCGGTGCGATGCAAGATGTGCGATTTCCGTGGCCAGCAGGACAGTTCTAGAAGTAGAGACAGTCTGGCAAATTGCAAGACCAGTGTCTTCCTCCCCTGTACCTAAAACCTCGTGTTTGAACCCTCTGGGGCTCTTGAGTCAGTGTGTCCGTCTCTCCTCCCCGTGGTGAGTTCCCAGAGCCCGGTTCCTTCTGCCTCCGGCTGAGCTCGGCACTGGCTTTGCAAACAGCGGGCGGCTGGTGAACGTTTGTGGTATTTGATTCTATGATTTCAGCACACGAAAATGTTCTCCTTGAAGCCATTTACCCCTTCTCTGTGGAGTTCAGAGTTGAGAAGTTTCCAGAAAGTGTAGGCAAGGTGGGCAACCAGTCAGGCTGAGTAAACAACAACAGCCCTCCCCGTAGACACAGGCCAGCAGAAGCTGCTCTTTGATTTGCGGTTTGTTTTGCCACCAGATAAAGAAGCAAGTCCAAAGAAAGGCCAACGTGCAAACAGTACTTCCAAGGTACTTATATCTGCAACACGATTCTTTGTAAGAGACCACAAAAGGAGCCGGCTCAGCTCCCACAGGCCTTCTCTCCGCTCAACTGCTGCACCCAGCACCACTAATCACACCATCAGGAGGTAGTGGGACCCCCCCACCCCCCGCATCCTCCACGAGGCCGTCAATTCAGCCTGGCTTCGGATAAAAAGACATGAGTTCGCCTCAGGTAATCTCGCACACACACGCACAGCTGCCACACTGCACGGTGCCTTATGACCCAAGTGCCACCTTCGTGTGTCAGGTTAAGTCACATCCCACAGCTTCTTGGATCCAAGAAAAGGGACTGGGCCAGAGGGAGCTGCCACATTTCTTTCTTTTCATTCTCTTTTACCTTTTAATTAATTTTCCTAATGCTTCCTTGGTGTAATAAACCGATCACCGTGTGCACCTTCTTCTTACGTCTTTCTCCTTCCAAGTTATGAACACATCCAGGACTTTCCTAGGGCAAGTTTCTAGGACTTGGCTGTCTGCTCTCCCCAGGGGGATGCACATTTATGGGTATGGCTCTGTGTCTACGGTGCACAGACAGCATTCTCTGCCCGGCTACTGGGGGGCTTTTCTTCCAAAAAACTGCACTGAGTGGAGAAGGAGCCAGGAAGCAGACCCCTGTCTCGCGGGGCTCTGTGGACCGAGCCTGCTCTAGAAGTCACTGGCTCAGCCGACATACAACTGAAAGCCTTAGCAGGGGCAGCAGAGCCTGGAAGTGGAGGATGAATTCATTAAGGGAGGGGGTTGCCAAAGGAGATGGAATCACGAGGGGTGTCCTTCCAAGAGCCAGGGAGGGCCTGGAAGTCATCTTGTGACGTCATCTTACTCTGATCCAGGCTGTCTGAGATTTCTGTAAGAACTGCTTGGAAAAAGCCCAGTTGATACACAGTGCTCTTGTTGTCAGACCTAGTGGCTCTTCATGGCTACAACAATGAGTGTTTCCTGCAGGCAAGGACTGTACATACACCATCTCATTCAATCCTCACACCAGTGCCAAAAGGGGAATAACCGCCCTGTGTTACAGAGAAGAGGAGAGACAGTAAGCGACATCCCGAGCCACAGAGCTAGAAAGTAGGAAACTTGGGATTTGAACCCGGGGCTCCCTCACACCAAAGCCAAGTCATCCTCCTGTTAGATACACAAAGTGGTTATGCCCTTGGGGCTCTGGCCTCTATCTGTGATAAAATTCTAACCTTTGTCTCAGGTTTGGCCTGTGTGTTTGCTGCCTGGCCTAGAGAGACACTTGCCATTAGGGCTAGACTGAGCCAGAGTCCTTACTAAGACACTCTTAGTATCTTGGCCGATTCACGCCCTTGATAAGATTGCTTCTATGACGAAAGTTGATCCAAGGTCTCGGGATCATTTTTGACACTGGGCCTGGGGAGTGTGGTGTGGGGACACGTGGCCAGCACTTACTTTGACCTAGAAACATAGAAGCGAAGAGCCCCTTAACCCGTCCCCCTGAGCCAGCCTTGCCCCTGGCAGGGACAAGCTGATACGAGCATCATAGATTCAGCCATGGCGTCAGCTGGAGCTGGTTTCATGAGCTATCGAGGTGCGGGGCCCTGCACCTGTGGTAGCTGAGAGCAGAACGTTCACTGTGGAGGTCGAAAAAGCAACAGACACTGGAAGGGATTCAAGCACAATCCCCTTTTGTTAGCAATGAAAGAGGATCACGCAGCTTGGAACAACTTTGTGAAAGATAATTGAAAGAAACTCGTGAGCTTCTACTCCACATCCATATCCTTCCATCCTCGGGCTAAAATTCCACGGACCCAGTGAGGTGAGAGGCTTTATTTCTCTCCCCACCAGCCAAGATTTGCGTGGGCTTGTTCAGCTCTCCCACTCTCCCTGCCTTTGGCTTGGCCATAGCTAGGAGAAGAACTGGATCGCAGTGTTGCCTCCAAATAGAGCTCTTCTCAAAATAGAGCTCTTGCTGGAAATTCTCCTTTAAATGTTGCTCTCCCCCCATGTAAATCAGAAACTCCAGGCCTACCTGTTTAACCCTTTTCACACCATGGCTATGCCTCAGCTCCCCAAGAACAGAGCACGTCGTTGGCGAAGGAAAGGTCAGGGGTACACCATCAAGTCAGCTCATGGAGCTGGAAGGTCAGCTTCAACGAAACCTCACATAGAGAAAGGGAAAGGAAAACAAAGGAGCAACCCCCTGGGCGACCTTTGGGGTGGCAGTCATCGTGCAACACTCTGCTTTCCAGGAAGACACGGACTTGGGCAGACCAAGCAGGGGGACAGGGGCCTTGGTTTCTTGGGGTGGGGGGGTTCGTCTCTTCTCTTTTTCTCCATCTCATCAGAATGAAAGATGTCACTCTGGGGGTCATTCACAATTTCAGAGGAGAACTGGAAGCCAGAGAATTTAAGGATCTACCTGTCACCAAAGCCTGCCTGGTACCTTCCTGTAATTTCCTCCTATGCCTTTTGTGAAGGCTCATGGCCAGGGCTTCACAGCAGGACCTCGAGACCCCATACATTAGCTCAGCCTTGAATTTTGTACGTGAACTCAGTAGGGTCATTTCCATGTCTTCTTTCAACATGTTTTTGGTTTCCGTATTCCACGTACCCTGCACTGACCATACGGCGTGTTCCTAAGGGGGAGAGGGGGCACCCAGCCGGGGACAGCCAAGGGTCAATTCAGGCTGAGCCCTGGGAAAGGAAAACTTGGTAGAACTCTGAACTCACCTTTTTGGGAAAAAAATCCCTCTAGACATGGTGAGGCTTATCGTTCCCCATGAGCTGTCCAGTTTTCAAAGCAAATCATAAAGCGTTTGAAAAAAGTCTTATTTGGCTTTGAGACCAGTTTCCTCTTTACCCCACCACAGCTGTTCATGCTCATGCTTAATTTAGTACTTTGTTAAATGTCCCCATTCTGTTCCACAGAGGGATCAACTGTCTTGCTTCGCCCTGGACTCCCCTGCCTGGGAAACCTCCCATTGCTGGGCAAAGTGGGATGATGTGTCACCCTAGCAGGAAACAGAGCCAGGACCTCTGGCTCATGCAGTAGCCACCCCATTTGGAGGCTGTGTGGTCGAGCAGACAAAGCACTTACAACGACGGGTCAAGAGTTTTGGGCGCCTCTGTCAACTTACTTCTTCACTTTAGGTCAATCCATTACTTTTCCTGTGTTTCAATTCCTTCTTCCACCTGTATGGGGGGAATAATACCTATTCACTCAATTCCTAGGATGCTGTAAGAATTAAATTACATAGTAGCTGCAAAATAATTTGACTTTATTGGAATTGGGCACCGCCCGAACCTGAGTGGAAGACTGTGCAATTCTTAACCGAGTCTATCTTCAAGGCCGGGCTGCCTCAGGACCAGAACAATAGCTTAGGTCCCGGTTTCTAGCCTACAGCAGCCCAAGGCCAAGGAGAGGTTGTGTGTCAGAACGTATGATGATTGCACGGGAACGCTGCAATGTCATCGACACCCTACAGCCCACATTCCCCATTCAGCAAAGGTCTTCTGGGATTCCGGTGGGAGCTGACAGGGAAGAGGGAACACAGCTTGTAGTAGCAGAAATTTTATTATAATTATTATCGTGATAGGTCTGGATTAGACTGCCATACCTGACTCTCCCTCCTGTTCATCCACTTGATATCTTGAATCTGGAAGGTCTGGGACAGAGGAACACACACCTGAATGAGTGAGAGAGTGTCTTTGTCTGCTGTCTATTTCTCACACACACACACACACACACACACACACACCCCTCTATGAAAAAGTGCTAATAAGCCCCACTCATGTTCCTGCCCCTTCTGGATCCCCTCGGACACGGCCCCGTGTCTGCTTCTCCGTGTGCACAGTCACGGTGACCTCTTCATTCGTTAATCACGCCCGGCTTGCTCCTGCCTCAAAGCCTCTGCTCTGCCTCTTCCCTCTTCTTCTCCTTCTTGTCGTTCAGGTCTCAGCTAAAAGCTCCCCTCTGTGGAGAGATGTTTCCTGACCATTCCATCTAGGGTGGCCCCATCTTCCCTTATTTTCTTTCACATAGGCTTTTTTGTGTGTGTGGTACGCGGGCCTCTCACTGTTGTGGCCTCTCCCATTGCAGAGCACAGGCTCCGGACGTGCAGGCTCAGCGGCCATGGCTCACGGGCCCAGCCGTTCCGCGGCATGTGGGATCTTCCCGGACCGGGGCACGAACCCGTGTCCCCTGCATCGGCAGGCGGACTCTCAACCACTGCACCACCAGGGAAGCCCCACATAGGCTTTTATTCATCAAACCATTTGTTCCTCCGTCATGTTTTCATTTGCTTATTTGCTGACTCCTTCTTATGGTAGAGACTGACGGGTACCCCCTGCTATCCATTCTCTCCTTCTTCCCTAGTAGCAGAGCCCAAAATTTCAGTGAGGCACATGGTCCCCCAGAACAAGACTGCATATGTCAGCCTCCCTATCAGTGAAGTGTAGCTACACAACTCAGTTCTGGCCAATCAGATATAAGTAGAAGTGTCCTAAGAAGGAGGAGGAACCCTCATTTTATCCTTTTCTCTTCTTCTCATTGTCTGGGATGTGGGCGCAATTGCTAGGACTTACACAGCCATATTGGACTCTGAGGTAAAAGCTTCATGCTAAGGACATCACACTACCAAGATAACAGAGTCCTGGATCCTTGATGACATCATGATGTGGCCCTACGAGCCCTGGGTCTCATCCCTCTGGACTTGTGTCATGTGAGAGAGAAGTTTGATTCTAACTTGCTTAATCTATTGTTATGTTGGGTCTTCCGTCATTTGCAGCTAAACTGACTCCTAACTAATGTCAATTCCTCCCTCACCCCCTTACCCTTCACTTGACAGATCGTAAGCTCCTGAAAGTAAGGATCTTGCCTGTCTTGCTCAACGCCACATCCCCAGCACTGGAGTAACAGCTGCAAGCACGTTGTAGTCGTTTGGCAAATGTTTATTCAATGAACTGCTTGCTCTTCTCTCTTATTTAATTTCCTCCCCCTACTGGCTCCGTTGCCTCTCTGCATTGCACTCTTTTAGTTCTCTTTTAACCTTCCTCAAATCTTCTCCTCTCTACATGTCCCTGAAACGTAGGCATTTCCCAAGTTTATGTCCTTGGCGGAGGCGGAAAGTACCAAGCTGATGTCTATATTCCCACAAACCCTTCCAAGTGAAACTGCCCTTACCATAGCCCAGCTACGGCCACGTATAGTAACTCACGCTCCTGCCCACTCCTGATTGGGCCAGGGGTTATCACGTGACCCGGGGGCAGCCGATCCGTAGGCTTGTCATTGCCTGTTATAAAAGGATGAACTGTGCCCATGAGATTCCCTCTATCAAGAATCTATTTTTGTTTTCATTTTAAATTTACTTTATATGAAAAAATGTGTATTTGTGTATTTATATGAAATAAATACACAAAATAAAAATTACCTCCCCCAAATGTATGCCTGTTTAGCAATAATACGGACTTATCCTCTACACATTGGTCTGCGGCATAGAATACATTCAGGTCAAGAAATGCAGATTTATCAGGGACTGATCAGTGTTCTTTGAATGGATTTCCCATAATGTATTCATAATTCCCCACTGATGTAAAAAGCATCCTTAGATATACAGATTTCCACACTTGTAAGAGAGTTACTGAAAAGTGGGATTGCTGACTCAAAGACTGTGCATTTAAAAAATTTTCATAAATGTTATCAGATAAATTTCCAAAATTGTTACACTCCCGCGGACATACGTGAGAATTCCTAATCTCGCATTCTCCCTTTAGCACTGGCTATTACCATTTGTAAAAATTTTGGCCAATGAGCTAATAAAAGAACAGCATCTTGTGACATTTGTATTTGTACTTTCTTGTATACTGATCAAGTTGTCTCCGGAGAATCAGGCGCTGAGCTGGAGTGGAGAGAGTGCAGAGCAAAGCTGAGAGGTGTAAACTTGCATTTGGAGGGGGAAGGCAGGGTTGAGGCTAGGAGGGTTGTGTTGAAGTGGGGTTCTGAAGAAACAGAAGTGATGGGCCGGGAAGAGACCTAAAGAGGGGAGAGAAAGAACGTCAGAGGCAGGCGAGGGCCAGAGCGGGCCCCCCCGGACGCTGAAACATGTGGGTGGTGGAGCAGAGCACAGGCTGCACACACACCAGCAGTGCAGCACTGGGAATGCCTCAGAGGCCAGGGAAACTTCCCTCACCCTCATGCTTGTCTTTGTCATCCTCCTCTCCCATAAGGCTCGTCTTTCCTGGGACCACTGTTCACTTTTCCTGGATATCCCCATTATCTGTCATGAGGGCAGCCCCTGTCCTCTCACTGTCCTCCGCAGGCCCCTGAGACATCCCGCTTCTCTGTGTCAAACCCGCTCGCTCGACTGCCCCCAAGTGCGCATCTTCTGCGCCAGCCTCGCGCCCAGCCTCGCGCCTTGCATTTCTCTCGGCTGGCGGGACACCTTCAGCATAGTGTCCGGCTTGTTCCTCAAGCTCAAGGTGTCCAAACCAAACCACCTATCCATCTACCCCCCAAATGGAATCCTCTAGATTTTCCTATTTCTTTATACGATTCCCACCATACTCCTGGTCACATGGGCTCAAAACTGTAAAGATATTTTCAGTTATCTTTTCCAATCTGCTCTCATTTACCATCTGTACTATATTTTTTACTATCCCCCTCCGCTTGCTGCTGGCAGGGTCAGGCTTGCTCGGTCACGGTCTGCCCACAGCACCCCACTCCCATACATTTCTACAGATGTGCCTCTGTATACACACGTTCCCTGAGTGAAGTTCAAGCTCACAGCCTGGCCTTTGAATCCTCCCACTCCTGCCTCCAACTGCCTTCCCGCGGTTACAGCCATGCTCTGTAAAATTTTCTTGCCTCTGTCCCTTTGCTTTTATTATTTCTTTTGTCCCAGCTGTTTCCTTTCACTTTATCAGAAGAACTGTGTCTGTTTGGGTTAGCCATTGCCTCTCTCCCAGGACCTAGCACAGTGCCTGACACATAGTAGGTGCTCAATAAAGTTTTACTGAGTGAGTGAATCAATGTTGCAAACCTTTCTATCATTTAAGGTTCCATCTCTGGTGCCACCTCCACCAGGAAATCATCTTCGACACCATCCATAGGACTGGATGTCCTTTGCACTTCCTTTGTTCCTACCTTTTCACACACCATAGTCTGAACTAAACTGAAATTTCTGGCTATTCATCTTAGCCTCTCAATTACATTGTAAGCTCCTTGAGACAGAAATACTCTATTTAAACATTTATATACCTCTCCTTGTATGGACTTGTGCGCGCACACACACACACACACACACCACAGACACAAGCGCAGTGCTGAGACCTAGCTCTGTGAACACAGCAGTGCCACTCAGCATGCGTTAGATGATTTGAACTGAAGCAGCTGCTGTCGTCGGTCCTACTCTCTGTTCTTTCTGCAGATACTGGGACTTCATCCCTCCTCTCCACCCCATTCCTGCCCCGGACCCCGTTTCTCCACCACGTGGCCACTGCAGCATTGCCAACTGGCATTGGTGGACCAGAGGATGAGTTACATTGGCTGTCGTGCTATCAGCCTTCCACACACAGCACAGCAGGTAGAGGATGAAAATGGATCCTCATAAGAACCTTACATTTATATGTCAGGGAAGGACAGCAGGCCAAGAATGGTGGTGGGATGTCCAGTACAAACTGACATCCGCCAGAATGATAAAAATGATGAGCTTTTAGGGCGCTCTGCTTTTAGGTGCTGGGCATTGGCTAAGCACTTTGCACCCTCCATTTAAACCTCCACCAACCCTGTGAGGTGACTACCATTATCTCCACTTTACAGGTGAGGCGTGAGACAGAGAGGTTAAGTAACTGGCCCAAGATCACACAGCTGGTAAGTGGCAGCACCTGAATTCAAACCCAGGACCTCTACCCTCTCGTCAAAAGAATCCAGACAATCAGCAGAGAACACAACCTATGGAAGCATCTCATCCTCACAAGGCGTTTTCCAAACGAGGAACCTGAGACCCAGACAGAGGGAGTCGCTTAAGCCACATAACTCGTCCTGGTAGCACAGGCACCAAACCCCAGCTTTCCTGACTCCCAACTTCATGTCTTTTCTACTGTCCTGTCCACCCCAGGGCAGGGCCCAGTTCCTTCCTGAATGTTCCTCTGTTCTTCATTGAGCTACTTACTCAGGAGTTTTAATGGTAAAATCCTTTTGAGAGAAAAGTTGTTTTTTTTTTTTTTCTTATACAAGGAGAAAATACATGCTGTTGGGAGAAGTTCAGGGCGGCAGTTGGAGGTGAAGCAGAGTGGAAGGAAAGAATCAGGATAGAGAGCACTGGGGGGAGAAGGCAGCTACAGATGCCCCCAAGGGGAGGCTGAGCTCGTTGGAGAAAGAGAGGTGGTCCACCAAGGCTTTCAGATGGGAGAGAAGTTAAGGACAGCATTTTCCCTGAATTTGGGGCTGTGGCTAATTAAAGGGGACCATGATCACTACAGTCAAAGCAGAGGCAAACAGAGGCAGTGGGGTGGACTTGGGGCTATTATGACTCAGGTGATGCAGTTTCCAGCAGGCGGCCAGGTGTTGCAGTGGGAGAAATGGAGCCCGTGCGGCCAAGACAGGGGCTCCAATCACACCTTTACATCTGTGACTTTGGGCAAATCATGTCACCTTCTTTAAGGTCTC